TTCAAGCTCCAGCTCCGAACCGGCCCTGAAACACCGTTGGTGTGAATGATGTATACCAGGTATTATACAGGACTAGCAGGTATTATACAGGACTACCAGGTATTATACAGGACTACCAGGTATGTTGGTGTTCTATGGTATCGTTAATCATAAACTCTTCCTGATCAGTACATTAGATCGTAATGTTGCTCATTTTATTAGTCTCTTAAACTGTCTGATTCACAATTTAAAGTGAAGGGGATTTCGATTTGAGGTACTGTGCAGTGTGATAACTCATCAAATCAGGTTGTTAACTTTACTTTCTTCACAGTTATTAGTGAACAGGTGAGTTTATGTTAGTCATGTTTTGTTATTTTAAACAGATTCAGTAAAATGTTCAGGCGTTTCTTTAATAAAATACAGGGAAAAAAAAGTTATAGTAACATTTTGAATTTGTAATGGACATTCCAATTTCTATATAAGATAAGATAAAGAGGTAACTTGATTACTTTCGTATTGTAATTCCAATTTTCTGTAAACAATACATTTAACATTAATTTTCTTCTTTTTTGTTGAATGTATTGGATCTTTCTGCATTTTAGAAATTGCAATCCATATTGTGACTTTTTTATTCGTTTTTATTCAAATATTTTTAGCTCTGATGCTCTGTGTACAAAAACGAAAGTAAAGCAAAGTAAAATCAAATTTAAAAACACTTCTATTATAGCTCTGTTAGACAATATTTTAATGCAAAACTATATTGACATTTATGAACGACGAAAACAAAGATAACATGGGTTGTAATTTAGACCCATGCTTAAATCAGGGAGACAGGTGAAACTGTTTCTAAAGTCAACTTCATTGTCAATCTTTCAGTTTGTGTGTAGAGAATGCCGTTTCCCACAATCTCGAATACAAAATTACAAATATATATATAATAAATGTATAAAAATATGTATATTCAACACATTTACACAGATTAAGGCATCAATTAAAGCACAACAATCAAGCGTGTTTTCACAGTGTCCTCTCTCCCCCTCAGTCTCAGTCAGATGAGAAGGCCCTGATAGCGAAGCTGCACCAGCACATCGTGGCTCTGCAGCTCAGCGAGTCGGCTGCTTCGTCCAAACTGGATGCCGCCACATCTCGCGTCCAACAGCTGGAGGTTCACAAACTGCGCGCCGATCAGCGACTGGACGCCAGCGAGCGCTCTCTGTTCCTCGCTCGACAGGAGGGAAGAAACCGCTCAAAGCACCTCCGTCAGACCATCCAGTCGCTACGTAGGCAGTTCGCCGGAGCCATACCTCTCCCCCAGCAGGAGAAGTTCTCAGTGGCCATGTTTAGCCTTCAGGAGGACAGAGCAACAGCCCAGGAGGAGAAGAGGAAGGCGGAGGAGGAGAGGAAGAGGGCGGAGGGCAGGGCGGAGGAACTGGAGCTGAGACTCAGGGGCCTGGAGGAGCTCATCGCTACACTGAAGGACGTGAAAGGAGCCCAGAAGGTCAGTGTTGTTGATCTCCCACTCCGACAAGAGAGCAAGATGCTTCTTTAATGCATGTGATGTGTGTGTACGTAAGGCTTAAAGGTCACCTATCATGCTATTTCTAGGCAATAGCATAGGTCTCAGATATATAAAAATATATTAAAAACATGTATATGAAGTGTTTTGCTCAAAATACCAAACAGATCACCCATTCTAGCCATGCCTCATATCCCTCTATTTCACTTCCTGTTTCAAAAGTGCTGATTTTGGGTATAAAGCTTTAAAAAAATAAAAATAGACAAAAAAAAATAAAAAAGGGAGGGGGCTGAGCTCATGCGGGACCCGGCAGCTACTGTCTAAACTAAATACTGCCGTGATGAAACGCCATATCATGGATTATCAAGGATTATCTCTGAAACAGTATGGAGCTCAAAGGCTTTCTCTCTTGCCGGTTATACCACAAGGTGAGTTCCTTTTTACTTCCTGCTTCTTCACACACATGCTCTCCAGTACAGGTTAGCTCTGAGTGTTAGCGATGCTAATGTAAACACCGACCATATTACGTCAAAAACAGTCGGGCGTTGTTTCTGATAGCAACGTTTCTGATAGGGCCGTGGGTCCACATTTCAGATATTACGTCATATCGGACGCAAATCTGGATCAGCTCCGTTGTTCCCCCGTTTTTAGAGATTTGGGTACGGAGAAAAAGAGAG